GTTCCAATAGCAAAATATGAACTTGTGTGATTCCAAGTTTGTTGTGAAACCAAGCTTTATCCTCCAGTTTATATGATATTGTGCGACTTCACAATTATTGTAAAGGTTTGAGACATGCACCATGTGTGTTGTTATTGTTGGAGAAAGTTGAGTTTAATCTGGTTTTTTCCTTCGATATTCTTGCGCAGCGGCAATTTCATAGTCCATGAAGTTCTACTGAGACGTGATTATTGCTGGTTGAAAACTTAACCCAATACCCCGCCGGGATGACTTGAAATATAGTCAGCCTTGGCAATTTTTGTTAGTCTCCCAGGAGACTTGACACTTTGTTCTAATGGCAATTCAGAATAAAATAGACTAGCATTTCTGTTAGTTGTCCAGCAAAGTTGAAACATTGTTCTAATGGCCTATTAGAATGACTTAGACTAGAATTTTTGGTTATTTACCCACGAAAGTTGACACTTTGTTCCAATAGCAAAATGTGAACTTGTGTGATTATAGGTTTGTTTTGAAACCAAGCTTTATCCTCCAGTTTATATTATATTGTGCGACTTCAAAATTAATGTAAAGGTTTGAGAAATGCAACTTGATTATTGCTGGTTGAAAACTTAACCCAATACCCCGCCGGGATGACTTGAAATATAGTCAGCCTTGGCAAACTTTGTTGTAATGGCAAATCAGAATAAAATAGACTGGCATTTTTGTTAGTTTTCCAGGAAAGTTGACACTGTGTGTTAATGGAAAATCACAATGAAATAGAATAGCATTTCTGTTAGTTTTCCATGACAGTTGACACTTTGTTCCAATAGCTAAATATAAACTTGTGTGATTATAGGTTTTGAAGGTTTGAGAAATGCACCATGTGTGTTGTTATTGTTGGAGAAAGTTGAGTTTAATCTGGTTTTTTCTTTCGATATTCTTGCGCAGCGGCAATTTCATAGTCCATGAAGTTCTACTGAGACGTGATTATTGCTGGTTGAAAACTTAACCCAATACCCCGCCGGGATGACTTGAAATATAGTCAGCCTTGGCAATTTTTGTTAGTCTCCCAGGAGACTTGACACTTTGTTCTAATGGCAATTCAGAATAAAATAGACTAGCATTTCTGTTAGTTTTCCATAGTGATGGCAAAATGAAGCTTTGAATGAAGCATCGAACCACTGGACAATTGTGTCGGAAATAGGTTCATTTCTCGAAGCTTCATTTACAGCGACCTCTACTGGCGAAGTGCAAGGCTGCAGTGGGTTTAACGTATCTTTGCCTTGAAAAATATTCGATGCACACACAGACTGAATATCATGTTCTATTTGCAATTAAAGATTGATAATTGTGTGTATTGGGTTATTGAGAAGAGACTAGAGAGTGCTGGACATTTGTTTGGGAGGAGAGGGCCTTTTATCAGTTATTAAAGTTGAAAAGCAATGATTAAAATACATCCATTCCGGGCTTTGAACCAGCTGCGCGGTGGACATCGCTGCATTCGGGCCGCCGGTTCTACCCACTGGGCTATCTATTCCTTAAAATATTGAACTGTTTTTATATTACTGATAATTCTCTTTTTGTTCACAACTTCTCCACATTTCGAAGTGTTTCCCGAGCCAAAACGACCTATCTTTCTTCCTGGCTTGCTCTATAATGATCCAATTCAAATGCAATACCAACAACAACTCAACAGCAACAACGCAAACTACGACAACACCCACAAATTGCGCATTGTTTAGAGCGGTCATAAAGTGTTGAAGCGCTCAAATTTGAAACTGTTTCAACCTGTCACCTGCCAGAATCGAGACGAGGCAGTGCATTGAATCGGGTGAATGGACGGGGAACCAGTGAGTTGATTCATTCAGGAAATGAAGCAGTTGCTGCTTCGGACGTCATATGTCACGTGATTTGAAGCAAGCTTCGAAGCACTGCTTCTATGGAATAGGAAGTCCAGGGTTGAAGCTCCGTTCGAAGCTTCAGTGTCAAACTGCCATCACTAGTTTTCCAGGAAAGTTGACACTGTGTTTTAATGGCAAATCAGAATAAAATAGAATAGCATTTCTATAAATGTTCCATGACAGTTGACACTTTGTTCCAATAGCAAAATATGAACTTGTGTGATTCCAAGTTTGTTGTGAAACCAAGCTTTATCCTCCAGTTTATATGATATTGTGCGACTTCAAAATTATTGTAAAGGTTTGAGACATGCACCATGTGTGTTGTTATTGTTGGAGAAAGTTGAGTTTAATCTGGTTTTTTCCTTTGATATTCTTGCGCAGCGGCAATTTCATAGTCCATGAAGTTCTACTGAGACGTGATTATTGCTGGTTGAAAACTTAACCCAATACCCCGCCGGGATGACTTGAAATATAGTCAGCCTTGGCAATTTTTGTTAGTCTCCCAGGAGACTTGACACTTTGTTCTAATGGCAATTCAGAATAAAATAGACTAGCATTTCTGTTAGTTGTCCAGCAAAGTTGAAACATTGTTCTAATGGCCTATTAGAATGACTTAGACTAGAATTTTTGGTTATTTACCCAAGAAAGTTGACACTTTGTTCCAATAGCAAAATGTGAACTTGTGTGATTATAGGTTTGTTTTGAAACCAAGCTTTATCCTCCAGTTTATATTATATTGTGCGACTTCAAAATTAATGTAAAGGTTTGAGAAATGCAACTTGATTATTGCTGGTTGAAAACTTAACCCAATACCCCGCCGGGATGACTTGAAATATAGTCAGCCTTGGCAAACTTTGTTGTAATGGCAAATCAGAATAAAATAGACTGGCATTTTTGTTAGTTTTCCAGGAAAGTTGACACTGTGTTTTAATGGAAAATCACAATGAAATAGAATAGCATTTCTGTTAGTTTTCCATGACAGTTGACACTTTGTTCCAATAGCTAAATATAAACTTGTGTGATTATAGGTTTTGAAGGTTTGAGAAATGCACCATGTGTGTTGTTATTGTTGGAGAAAGTTGAGTTTAATCTGGTTTTTTTCTTTCGATATTCTTGCGCAGCGGCAATTTCATAGTCCATGAAGTTCTACTGAGACGTGATTATTGCTGGTTGAAAACTTAACCCAATACCCCGCCGGGATGACTTGAAATATAGTCAGCCTTGGCAATTTTTGTTAGTCTCCCAGGAGACTTGACACTTTGTTCTAATGGCAATTCAGAATAAAATAGACTAGCATTTCTGTTAGTTTTCCATAGTGATGGCAAAATGAAGCTTTGAATGAAGCATCGAACCACTTGGACAATTGTGTCGGAAATAGGTTCATTTCTCGAAGCTTCATTTACAGCGACCTCTACTGGCGAAGTGCAAGGCTGCAGTGGGTTTAACGTATCTTTGCCTTGAAAAATATTCGATGCACACACAGACTGAATATCATGTTTTATTTGCAATTAAAGATTGATAATTGTGTGTATTGGGTTATTGAGAAGAGACTAGAGAGTGCTGGACATTTGTTTGGGAGGAGAGGGCCTTTTATCAGTTATTAAAGTTGAAAAGCAATGATTAAAATACATCCATTCCGGGCTTTGAACCAGCTGCGCGGTGGACATCGCTGCATTCGGGCCGCCGGTTCTACCCACTGGGCTATCTATTCCTTAAAATATTGAACTGTTTTTATATTACTGATAATTCTCTTTTTGTTCACAACTTCTCCACATTTCGAAGTGTTTCCCGAGCCAAAACGACCTATCTTTCTTCCTGGCTTGCTCTATAATGATCCAATTCAAATGCAATACCAACAACAACTCAACAGCAACAACGCAAACTACGACAACACCCACAAATTGCGCATTGTTTAGAGCGGTCATAAAGTGTTGAAGCGCTCAAATTTGAAACTGTTTCAACCTGTCACCTGCCAGAATCGAGACGAGGCAGTGCATTGAATCGGGTGAATGGACGGGGAACCAGTGAGTTGATTCATTCAGGAAATGAAGCAGTTGCTGCTTCGGACGTCACATGTCACGTGATTTGAAGCAAGCTTCAAAGCACTGCTTCTATGGAATAGGAAGTCCAGGGTTGAAGCTCCGTTCGAAGCTTCAGTGTCAAACTGCCATCACTATTTTTCCAGGAAAGTTGACACTGTGTTTTAATGGCAATCAGAATAAAATAGAATAAGAATTTCTATAAATGTTTCCATGACAGTTGATACTTGTTCCAATAGCAAATATGAACTTGTGTGATTAAGTTGTTTGAAACAGCTTATCCCCAGTTATATTATTTGTGCGACTCAAATTATTGTAAAGGTTGAGAATGCTTTATTGTGGTGAAAACCCCATACCCGCCGGGATACTGAATTATCAGCCTTGCACTGTTTTAGGCAATCAAATAAATAGACAATTTGTTATTTTCCAGGAAGTTGAACTGGTTTAATGAAACATGAATAGAATAGCATTTATGTTAGTTTTCCATGACAGTTGACACTTTGTTCCAATAGCTAAATATAAACTTGTGTGATTATAGGTTTTGAAGGTTTGAGAAATGCACCATGTGTGGTTGTTATTGTTGGAGAAGAAGTTGAGTTTAATCTGGTTTTTTCCTTCGATATTCTTGTGCAGCGGCAATTTTCATAGTCCATGAAGTTCTACTGAGACGTGATTATTGCTGGTTGAAAACTTAACCCAATATCCGCCGGGATGACTTGAAATTATAGTCAGCCTTGGCAATTTTTGCAGTCTCCCAGGAGACTTGACACTTTGTTCTAATGGCAATTCAGAATAAAATAGACTAGCCTTTCTGTTAGTTGTCCAGGAAAGTTGAAACATTGTTCTAGTGGCCTATTAGAATTAGTTAGACTAGCATTTTTGTTATTACCACGACAGTTGACACTTTGTTCAAATAGCAAAATATGAACTTGTGTGATTATAGGTTTGTTTTGGAAACCAAGCTATCCTCCAGTTTATATTATATTGTGCGACTCAAATTAATTGTAAAGGTTTGAGACATGCACCATGTGTGTTGTTATTGTTGGAGAAAGTTGAGTTTAATCTGTTTTTTTCCTTCGATATTCTTGCGCAGCGGCAATTTCATAGTCCATGAAGTTTCTACTGAGACGTGATTATTGCTGGTTTGAAAACTTAACCCAATACCCCCGCCGGGATGACTTGAAATATAGTCAGACCTTGGCAATTTTTTGTTAGTCTCCCAGGAGACTTGACACTTTGTTCTAATGGCAATTCAGAATAAAATAGACTGCATTTTTGTTAGTTTTCCATAGTGATGGCAAAATGAAGCTTTGAATGAAGCATCGAACCACTTGGACAATTGTGTCGGAAATAGGTTCATTTCTCGAAGCTTCATTTACAGCGACCTCTCCCTGGCGAAGTGCAAGGCTGCAGTGGGTTTAACGTATCTTTGTCTTGAAAATATTCGATTCACACACACCAAGACTGAATATCATGTTGTATTTGCAATTAAAGATTGATAATTGTGTGTATGGGTTATTGAGAAGAGACTAGAGAGTGCTGGACATTTTTTTTGGGAGGAGAGGGCCCTTTTATCAGTTATTACAGTTGAAAAGCAATGATTAATTACATCCATTTCCGGGCTTTGAACCAGCTGCGCGGTGGACATCGCTGCATTCGGGCCGCCGGCTCTACCCACTGGGCTATCTATTCCTAAAATATTGAACTGTTTTTATATTACTTATAATTCTCTTTTTGTTCACAACTTCTCCACATTTCGAAGTGTTTCCCGAGCCAAAACGACCTATCTTTCTTCCTGGCTTGCTCTATAATGATCCAATTCAAATACAATACCAACAACAACTCAACAGCAACAACGCAAACTACGACAACAACCCACACATTGCGCATTGTTTAGAGCGGTCATAAAGTGTTGAAGCGCTCAAATTTGAACTGTTTCAACCTGTCACCTGTCAGAATCGGACGAGGCATTGCATTGAATCACCTGATTGGACGGGGAACCAGTGAGTGATTCATTCAGGAAATTGAAGCAGTTGCTGCTTCGGACGTCACATGTCACGTGATTTGAAGCAGTTGCTGCTTCGGACGTCACATGTCACGTGATTTGAAGAAGCTTCGAAGCACTGCTTCTATGAATAGGAAGTCAGGGTTGAAGCTCCGTTCAAACTACCATCACAAGTTCATTTTCTCAAGCAGTGAAAAACAAATTCATAACTGATAATGTCATGTGCGAAAAGAGGACACTACGCACATTGCGCAACAGCAGCACACCAGGCAGCAGACCATCTGAATAGCGAGAAATATACACAAATGTATTAGATTGTAACTTATTCCCATGCATGTTGCTCAAAGTAATATCCAGTCAGTCTCACTTCTGCGTATCTCCCTCTCCTCTTGCACCATGCCACCAGGCAGGAGTGAGAGTGTGTTACCATGGTTACGGGGACGCTCGCGATTCCCAATAATACGTTTTTAGTAATATAACATAATTTTACAGTTTTGGTTAACATTATACAGGGTTAATGTTTCTTGATTAAATCCAAAGAGGGCAAGGTGGTGTAGACATGTAGGAAATGTGTTTTAAATTACAATTTTTTCACACACACACAGAGAGACAGAGCGAGAGAGAGAGAGAGAGAGAGAGAGAGAGAGAGAGAGAGAGAGAGAGAGAGAGACGAGAGAGAGAGAGAGAGAGAGAGAGAGAGAGAGAGAGAGTCTCTCGCTGCACAACTTCCATCAAGTAGATGAGAGGCATACACATAGGTCGCTCTCCACTTCCATCCGAGCCCTGTACTTGGTCTTCATGGAGGTCAGCGCTGAGAATGATGACTCGCACAGGTATGTGGTTGGAAAGGGGAGCAACACCCACATGGCAACAGCAGCGATTTCCGGATACTCCTGTTCAACCGAAGGCCAAAAGTCCACATGCCCCCCTTGGCCGAACCGGATTCACAGCGTCCCGTCGCATGCCAGGTCCGGCAGCTCCTCCTCTGCTTTTCCACTGAGACCCCGCGCTGATGTATGGGCAACGAAGGGGTCGCGCACTCAGTCCCAGGCATCGGTGTCAACGTCAGTGAAATAGTCATTGAAATAGTCATTGAAATAGTCACCAAGGGAGGCAAGATGCAAACCGATTGTATTTTTCACAATCTCAGCTGGTATTTGGTTTGTGTCCAAAAACTCTGTGAGTTGGGGGAACATGTCTGTAATGCCATTTTGCACCCGCCTTCTCCAGATTGCTGTTTTGGCACGGAATGCCTTAATTTTGTCGCTTACCTCCAGGATAGAGGCATATCTGCCTTGAACGGACAAACTGAGATCGTTCAATAAGTTGAACACAATCTGCGAGGTAGGCGAGCTGTGCGATCCATTCGGGGTCCGAGAAGAGTGCTGCAGTGGTTGGCTTGTCATTCTGGATGAACTCACACAGCTCTGAGCGCAGTTTGTACACCCGCTGTAGCACTTTTCCACGGGAGAGCCAACGCACCTCTGAATGGAACAGCAGGGTGTCCTGTCCTGCGCCCATCTCCCTGCAGAGCTGGCCGAATATAAACGGGACTGCAGTGGCTTACACTTGATGTGGTTGACCACAGATACCACCGTGCTGAGAACGGACTGTAGCTCAGGACTCAATGATTTTGACGCCAGAGCCTGCCTGTGCAGCATGCAGTGGGTAGCTATCATCATTGGATTGCGCTCCTTGGCACGAGCAATCACCCCACTCTTGCGTCCGGTCATGGCAGCTGCCCCATCCGTGCAAATCGCAATGCAATTCTCCCAACTCACATTGCCAGTCTCCATGAACATATCTACAACATTGAAAATCTCCTCACCTGTTGCTCGCCCCATCAACTCTTAATTGACAAAATAAAAAATCTTCCTGAATCCTTCCTTCCCACGGGTAGCGAACCAGCGCGATGAGCTGCGCAGAGCCGGACACATCAGTGGACTCATCCAATTGAACCGCAAATTTAGACCCTCTCAGTCTTTCCAGCAGTTGTGATTTGATATCAGCAGACATGTCCTCAATTCGTCGTCTGATGGTGTCATTTGACAGAGGTACACTTCTCAATTTGGCAGCCGCATCTTTCCCCACCATCACCTCACACAGATCCACCGCAGCAGGGAGCAGCAGTTCCTCCGCTATTGTGTGGGGCTTTCGCACCTTAGCAATCCTCTGCGCTACCAGGTAGGAGGCCCGCTGCGCTTTAGCAGAAACAGACGTAACATTAACCATCCGTTGTTGTTGCTGGCGGTAGTCCTCACCCTTCCTCTCAAAAAAAGCCCGGTCTTTTTTTACATAATCTGGATGGTTGGTCTCGAGGTGCCTCTTCAATTTGGGAGGCTTCATCGCCTCATTGGCAAGACACCGCAGGCATATCAGACATTTCGGTTTCCCTTCCACTTCAATAAATCCATATTGGAGATACTCCTCATCGTATTTCCTTACTTTTGTTTTTTATTTACTTCATTTGTAGCCGTAACCGGTCGTTTTAAAAATCTGTCCATCTTCGTAGTATGCTAGCCGTGTTATATCTCTATGATGCTTGCAACGGCGCTCTCTGACTGACGTAACAGTTATTGTTGTTTCCACGGTAATGGGTAACGCGCTTGATTTTTAAATGTATCTATTTGTTAGATTAGAACGTAATCTATGAACTATTTTAGATTAAAAAAAATATATATTATTTGTTGAAAAAAAAAAAAAAATGATATAATCATTTAAATCAATGAATCTGAAAACTTTTCACGAACCCCTTGGCAGAGTGCCACGGACCCCCGGGGGGTCGCGGACCTCACTTTGAGAACCACTGCCATAGAGGGAGTATCTGGAGCCGATAACATAGCTGAGTTGTGGAGGAAACATTACTCTACTTAATTGTGTTAAAAGTGACCCCTACAAAGTTGGTAATGTTGTGAAAAGTGACACAGTGGGAATCACAGCTAAAGACGTTTAACGAGCAAGAGCACTGCAGAGCACCTTAAACTGGCAAGCCCGAAGGTTGCAGTTCTTCTTGCCATTTGTTTTACTGGCCTCATGACTCATGGTATGTTGCCAGACTCCATGTTGACTGTTACTTTGGTCCCTGTCATTATGGACAAAGCGGGCAAGGTAGGGATCTTGGATAACTATAGACCAATTGCTCTAGCCAGTGTGTTATCCAAAGTCCTGGAAAGAATTTTGTTAGATAGACTATGTTCTTATTTATGTACCTCAGATAACCAGTTTGGCTTCAAGGCTAAGCATGGTACTGAGAAGAAAGAAGAAAGAAATGGTAGAAACATATAGAAGACAGAATTCCACTTTTCTGATTGGTTTCATTGATGCCTCTAAGGCTTTTCACCGAGTTAACCATCATAAACTGTTTTTAAAATTGAGACAAAGGGGTAAGCCAACCAGAGCATGCGGATCAAATGGGGGAATGCAGTCTCGGCGCCATTTGGTGTTGGTAATGGAGTCCGCCAGGGGGGGCTCCTCTCACCATGCCTTTTTAATATCTATATGAATGATCTATCAGATGATTTAAGTGTCTGTAAAACAGGGTGTGTGATTGATAATGTGATTGTAAACCATCTTATGTATGCTGATGATCTGGCAATTGTTTATCCTAGCAGTGCTGGTTTTCAACAGTTGCTAAATGTTTGTTCTGATTACGGAGTCAAATTTGACGTTAAATACAATGCTAAGAAGAGCGCTGTAATGATCTGCAGAGCAAAAGGGGATAAGAACCTCTGTTTTCCAACATTCTATCTGTCAGGGCAGGTGCTGTCTGTTTGCTGTAACACTAAGTATCTGGTACACATCATCACAGATGAAATGGCTGATGATGATGACATGTATAGACAGCGGCGTGTCTGACAGTATATATACAAGCAAACATGTTGGCTAGAAAATTCTCTTGGTGTTCAGATAAGGTTAAGGTGAACCTCTTTAGAGCTTATTGTACTCCTCTCTATACTGCCCCCTTGTGGGTCAAGTATAAGAAGGCGAGCCTCCGGAAGTTCCAGGTTGCTTATAATGACTGTCTGCGTATACTGCTTAGAAAACCAAGGTGGTGCAGTGCAAGTGAAATGTTCTGTAATGCACGAGTCAACACGTGCCATGCTCTTTTGAGAAATCTGATGTACAAATTCATCTGTCGATTGAATGTTTCTCATAACTCTGTCATTATGCTGCTTTCAAATCCGTGTTTCAGTGCTGTACGATACCAGTCACCTCTGTGGAA